CGGCACCGAGCTAAATCCCCAGCCCGACAGCTCCCTGATATTAAGCCTGTGCCAATTAGATTTTTTTCAAAGATAAAAATAAGGAAAATAACTATTTGTTAAAAAGTTGAAAGATGTAGAGTTTTTTTTAAAAGTTGATTTAAACTTAAAGATCACAGGGAGCCAAAAAAAATTCTCATATTTGACACACAAGGACTGAGGGGAAAGAAACTGACAGAGCATTCCTTTCTCACAAATGCAGTTAGAAGCAAAGATGGTTAAGAGAGAGGATTTTGAGTAAATTCTCATAAGGACACAACACAGGGCCTAGCAGAACTAGGGCATTAAGGGTGTCTCCTTACTTCTTGTAACCATTCATTACATCACACCTATTGCGCTTCTCCATGTGACCTCTTTATGTGCCCATGTTTCCCCATGCTCATGACAGAAAACAGGAGAAAAGCAGGGCAGACACAGTGGGCCTATGTGAGGAGCAAGATTCCACTTGCCCAGCTGCTTGTGACTTTATTCTTAGGTAACTGAGGATGATGTGGAATACTTATTTGGGTATTGTGGGCTTTTCCTCATATTATCAAGATTCCCAGTCTCATAATTACCTCCTTGGTGACAGAATTTATTGGCATTTTTGTTGTGCTTCTTAGAGCAGTGGTTTCAAACATGAGTGATCACCCAAATTTTCCAAGGAGATTCTAAAACCATTCTTGGGCTGTACTCCTATGACAAATGGGGGTAGAGATAGGCAAGAAAAATACCTATTTTTCTTTGTGCACACTAGAAAGAGCTTTGTATCAGTAGCTCAATTCATGACACTAGTCTTGACTAATCCACTATCTGTGACTTATGGCAGATACGTATTAGGGTTTAGAAAAGGTACAGTGGGGGACTGGAAATGAAGAATGGAGGAGGGAGAAAACAAAGTAGCTGCTGTTCTATGGAAGACATGGTACGATTCCTGTGTATGTGAAATAGTTGTGATTTGAGGTACATTTGGAGGGCTCTTCTGCCTCAACGTATCTAGCTTTCTACTAATCCCTGAAATTCCATCATTATGATGGCATTCTTTCCTTAAGGTGTATCATTTGTTAAAATGGAAATAGCCCTCAGTATCCAACTGTTAACTTTCACTGATAAAGTGCAAATTCATTTGCCACTAAAATGAAGATTTGTGGAGGACACCACACCCTTCATTTTGGCAGAAAGGAAGGGGTGCCAAGAAAAAGGTTATGATTCAAATATGGTGGATTTTGTATCTTGCTTCAGGCTACCCTTAGGACAACATCTGTGGGACTCTGTGTCCTGAATGAGATCTGACACACAGGACATGCTAATTTGCATAAGGAACAACCATCTAATTATGCACTGTCCCTTCTCCCACACTAGCTTTACTGTTCTCTGACCTTCTGGTACACTTTTCAGTACCTACTTTATTTAACTGTTTCTCAATTATGTCATATATCTGTATCATGGCTCCCTAGGTAGGTGCCAGCTCCTTGGAGATAAAGAAGAACATGGTCTCTGACCAGGTGTAGTGATACCTGCATATAATCCCAGAATTCTGAGAAGCTGAAGCAGGAAGATCACAGTCTGGATAACTTAGCAAGACCCTGTCTCAAAATAAACAAAGAAAAAAAGAGAGGAAGGGAGGGCGGGCGGGCGGTGAAGATCCTGAGTTCAATCCCCAGTACCACACACACACAGATTATTTTCTACCTCTGAGCACCTATGCAATGTAGAAAGATCCTCAGTAATATACTGATACATCCTATTATTAGTAGGTAACAGGAAGAAATCCTTTTTACTGTGTTTTCTTTATGACCTTTCATTTCTGAGTGCTTAACCCTACTTGCTTCTCAAGTTTTTTCTTCTTTAAAATCAACTACCCTTCCCAAATTAAGAATCTTTTGTCACCAGTCAATTTTTGTGGGTTTTACAAAAATGTATTGACATGAAAATACTATTGAATGTTTTGGGAAAATATCCTTGTTTTCCAAATGTTTGGAGAAGCTGAATTTTCTCTTGGCTTATGGTTGAAAATGGTCTTTGTAAAGAATGAAATTGAAAATATGGATTAAAAAAGCAAAGACTAAAATCTATAAAAGCCAAATGTAATCTAAGTTTTACAAGAAATTAACTAAGGTCTTCTCTACCAAATATTGTTATTTAAGCACTGTAAAACATTTTATTTTTTCATTAATAAAAAACTGTACCCAAACTTACTTTTCTTAAAATAATGTGTAATTATTATGCATAGAAGGTAGCTAAGGCACAGGAAAATGAACTTGTTTATGTTGATGGAAATAGCTAATGTCAGACAAGGTTCAGTCCGAGTTTCCAGTTCTTTGAGAATATTTACCTGGTACTTCTCCTAAGATAGGTATTGAAAACTCTAGTTAGTATTTCTCGTTATCTAGATTCTGAGATATCTGGTCCTCTGTATGCATTAAATGAATCCAGTTTTACCCTTATGTGTATGTTACTGTTTCTTTTTTTTCTTACTAGTAGGATGGGTTTATTTTATTTTTTAGGATGGAGAGATTTAAATGTCTAGTCTCCACTTAATATGAGACTTTTAGCACAGGAAAATGAAATTGATGAGATTTCATTGCTGGGTGACCCTTTTAACTTCTAAAAAAGTCAACTTTCAACTGGTAATGTGGGAGGGATGATATTGTTCTTTTTTCTATCTTATGTAATGTACCTATATGCTCCTCCAAAGCCTTATGTGCTCACAGGTGGGACTTTTTGGAGGTGGCTGGATCTAGGGTTGGTGATACCTGGATTAAGGGTGTGTGGTCCTGGATGAGTCCACTAATTAGTTTAGCATAGTTCTGGGTGTGGATAATGGGAAGGCCCACCCTCGTTGTGAATGGCATTAAACAAAAGCCCTGTAACCTGGATGGAATAAAAGGGAAAGGAAGGGTTGCTGCTGCTTTGCTGCCTCCTACCTACTCTGTCATGGACAATTTTTTTTTTTGGTACCAGGGATCGAACTCAGGTCCTTGCACTTGCAAAACAGGCAGCAAAACCACTAAGCTAAATCCCTGGTCTGTCATGGACTATTTCTAAGATGCCCCTCTGCCATGCCCCCTGCCTTGGAGTCTGCACACTATGAACTGAAACCTCTACAAATTGTGAGCCAAAATAAACCTTTCTTTCTTTAACTTGTGGGTGTCAGGTTATTTTGTCTCAGCAATGAGAAAAGTCACCAAGACATGCAGTATCTAATTTTTAGAAGTGATAATTTCCAGATTGGTGTGAAGGGACCAAGTGTGTCTAAGATGGATTAGAATTCCTTTAAAAAAAATTTAGATTTGGACTGTGTTAATATTATTTTCATCTCATGAATCACAGGGAATCCTACCCAAAGAAACAAAACCTATGCATCTGTATCTCTTAATGAGTCTCAGCCTTTCTTTTCCTGTAGGAAAATAATCTCAGTGAGTGATCACTTCATTTTAGGCCACAGTCAAATATTCTTCTTCCCTTTCTTTATGTATTTTTTCTTCCTTTTTTAATTCAAGGCAGTCATTGAACTTTATATCTTGAATGTGGGAGTGAGAGATTTGTAAGAAAAAGAGCAATTATTTAAGTACTTTGCAGAGACCTAGCCGTTTCTTGATAATACATAGAAAATCTGAGGTTTAGCTAAGTCAACCATTATATACTGACTACCAGGGAAGATTAGTTGACTTGTACAGAAATGCACAAATAAATAATAGAACTAAGAATATGAACTTTAGTTGGTCTCAAAGTTCTAAGTTCTTATCCTTTTTCCTTTTTTTTTTTTTTTTTTTGGTACCAGGGATCGAACTCGGGACCTTGCACCTGCAAGGCAAGTGCCGGAACCACTGAGCTAAATCCCTGGCCCGTTCTTATCCTTTTTACCACAATGGTTCTGATTTTCCATCCCAGGTAAGTTGCAAGAAGATTTAAAATGTCACAAACTGAAGGATCAGAATTTCAAATACCCCTAATTCTTGTTATTATTGTTGACAGACTGGAAAAACCACCCTCCTTATGGTCATGCCTCTTTGCAGTGTAAATCTGCAGTTTCTTCACTTCCTAAATCTAGAGCCTGTGATTTGTTTTGATCAATAAAATGCGGTCAATATTGAGTTGCTGCAAGCCTAGAACTTGTTTTTGCCTGCTGCTCCTGGTTCATTTGGAGCTCTACTGCTAAAAAAGCTCAGGACAGCCTGCTGGATGATGAGACCTGGCTATTACTCTTCACTGCTATAGCAAACCCGCCAGCTGATCACAGAATGCTGATTGAACCAAGCTGAAGTCAGTTGAGCCTGGATGGATTAGAACCGTCCAACTCATCTTTACTCATGAGGAATATTAAATGATTATTATTTGAAAGTCTTTAAATTTTGAGATAGTCTGTTACAGAGCAATAGTAACTGATACAGCTATCAAGTAAATCTACTTTGACCAAGCAGAAAAAAAAAAACCAAGAGATTGATTCTAAAAGACACAAATGGAAAAATTTGTTTATACTAAAATAAATGCTTAACAAATCCTTATTTAACTTATATTCACAAAATAAGACTGAAACATGTGACTTGATCCACTCAAGAATTTGCAAATTGCACTGGTCTCTATAGTAAGTTCAGATATGAACATGAGCAATTACATATTTAAAAATCTCTATCAAGAAAGCAGTCTTTCTTCTTGATGTCTTGTATGACCTATATTGATTATTTAAGAATATATTATTTAATGTTCATGAGCTTCTGTAGTTTCTGTGATAATTTGCTTTTAATTTCTAGTTCCATTCTGCTGTCCTAATACTTACAGATTATTTCAGCTCTTTTGTATTTAACCGGATTTTATGATTTAAAATGTGATCTAGGCCCTACCGAGGTCCCCAGTTGCCAAGAACATGCCACATCAGCCCACTGCAGACAAGCAGGTCTGTGCATGCCCTACCGAGGTCTTAAGTCCCGCGGAAGATGCCAAATCACCCCGCTGCAGACCAGCAGCCACCTGGTTCCACACTACAAAGATGCAGAGGACACCAGACCACCAGACCAAGGTACTGAGTCCCGCTGCTCCCAGCCCAGAGGTAGGGGCTTCTGAGCAGCCATCCCACTGCTCCTGGTCCAGAGGAAGGGGCTTCCCAGTCACCATCCGTCCCGCTGCTCCCAGCCCAGAATAAAGGGCTTTTGGGCCACCTTCTGTCCTGTTGCTCCTGGCCCAGAGGAAGGGGCTTCCAGGCCACCATCCCTCCTACCACTCCCGTCCCAGAGGTAGGGGCTTCTGAGCCACCATCCCACTGCTCCTGGTCCAGAGGAAGGGGCTTCCCGGCCACCATCCCTCCTGCTGCTCCCAGCCCACAGGAAAGGGCTTTTGGG